GCACAAAGGCTTTGCGAGTCTTTAAAGCGAACGCCGTGCCGAAGCTTTACCAGCCATCCGACTCATCTAGTGAGGCAATGAGGCAAGCAGCGTTCGAACAGTCAGTTGGGGTCAGTTGGGCTATCAGGACTGTGTCTTGTTCGTTGCCGCCCTCCCGCTAACTTACTGAGGGCTGGAGCATCTTGTCTTAGCCGAACCCCCACAAACATATTCCCCCCGCTTGACCGTGCTAAGTCAACTGGCATTTCATTTTCACCTCACCAGAGCCATCTAGTTTTGATCGTCACTGACTGACTATGACTGACTGGTAGCCCACGGGAGACAGTGGTCGACTCCTTAGATCCTCACGAAGATCGACGAAAAACAACGAGGAATGAAACGCCCGGACGCAGCAATGGCATGCAGAAGCCAGCCTCCTCGGCACCTTGTAGAGACGGTTGACGAGAAGCTGCGCATCCTGAGGCCACAGGACACCCTGCAGGTGCAGTGGTGAAAAATCAGTTGCGACTTGTGCGAGCTTGCCCTCTTCTCGCCCTTTGCGGGATCAATCCACAAATCCCTTGATGGCCTCTGGCTTCAGGCGAGGACGAGGCACGGAAGGGTAGCCTTCGTCTTCGGGCTCCTAGCGTCACGGCGTCACCGAGGCCAAAACCAACTCTTCAGGCCATGGCGGGCCCCCGCCTGCCGGGGAGCTCGAGGCGGCTTCCGGGGTGCCGACAGGGCTGCGACAACTTCCTGCAAGAGGGGGAAGGTAGGCGGAAGGCCAAGGAGCTTGAAGACCGCGAGCCTCCGGCTTTCGACCGCGTTGCTCGACCACTTGAACCATGAATTCGCCTCAGTTGCGTTGCAGTCTTCCTGCGACTGAGAAGCGGTCAGGACAGGAGTCAGATCAAGCTCAGGCATTGCTTGGAGATGTCATGAATGTCGGAGGCCTGAGGCCTCGGCCATCTTCCCCTCGCCGAGGCACGTGGCCCAGCTCCACAAGCATCCTCAACGACTACTGTAACAGTGACTAACAAGTGCTGCTCTCTCGAAGACGCATGATTGCCATTGCCTCTTCTCATGCCAAGGCTCTTGAAGAGGACCGGCTGAGATTTGATGCCCACCTGCACGTACCGGGCCTGCGCAAGAGATGACTCCGACTTCTTGCCTGGCCGGGACCAGGGGCACGGGACCTCACCATCCTCGTCGGAGAGCACTTCGCATCCGAGCTGCTTCAGCATCCTCGCAACTGGGCGTCGTCCCGAATCAAAAGACGCAAGGGGTCATTGTGATCTACAAGATGAGCCTGAAGGCAACCTTCTTGCTGAGGGTACCATCCTTGCCAATCCTTCCCACCGTGATGCTCATGTCTCCGTGGCCGTTACTGTCGCAGCTGTACGGAGTCTTGCCTGGCGGATGTTGCAGGAGGCGTGGGCAGCGGCAGTGGCGCCTGTGCACTTCCGAAATCCGATGTCGCTCATCAACGTTTTGTGGACAGCCTGCGCCTTAAGGTCGGCTCCACGCTCGGCGACCGGCACGCCCGGCACGCCCACGCCCAGAAACGCGCTCCTGAGCGCCAGGACGCCGAGATACCCCGAGCCCACTCGCACTTGTCCAAGCGAAGCCCCTTTGCAGCCAAGGCACAAGGATCCGAAGTCGGCAGCCGGACCAACCTCCTCCAAGGCGACCATGGCCGAGTCGCCTTCCTCAGAATCCGGGCTTTTGGCATCGTGTCGGGTCCTGGTTTGGTGTGCTGAGGGAGCCGACTGGGCCGCACAGGCGCACGGCCACACCCCTACATGAAGGCGACGTCGGCGGAACCAGCGGCTCCCACCACAAGATTCGACGAACAGAACCTTCTAATTGGCAGTGCTTCATTGCTCCCTCACTTGGCTGCATGCTGCTGTAATGATCTGACCCTACTTCAGCATCTTGGACCGCGCTGCGCAGGAGACGGCAGGTTCCACTTTTTTCGTGCCTTCAGCTTCCGACGCAAGCGCCAAAGTGCAACAAGTGCAAACCAGGTGTTCGGGTCATACCAGGATCTCCATATACCCCTAAGATGTGCCTGAGTACCTTCATGGGGGGAAAGGCCAAAACCCTGGACCCTCCCCGCTTACGCCCTCCCAAAGGAGAGCCGGGCTAGCAGCTCGGAAAAGGTCTATGTGGCTATCGGCTATCGAGTGCTCGGTGATGAGAACATTGAACTACGAGTAGGCATCCTAGGCATAGAGTCGTTCATCCTCGCGCGAATCGGTTCGTCTCAGCTGTGAAGGGAAGACGCGTCTATGGTGACGTTGATCATCCCGGGAACACTGCTTGGAAAGTTGTCTCGGCTCGTCTCCCTGTCTGTGTAGTAGCTGCTCTAGACCATGCAAGCTGGGCATTGTTGGTCCTGCCGTTTAGGGATTGCAGGAAGATCCGTCCACGTCAACAGTGCGACTGACCTAAAGCTCTGACGCTCTCAGAACTCGCCGAACATCACGAGCGCCATGGTGTTCATCGGCATGTGCCCTTGGTTGAACCGACCTGGCGATTCATCAGACGCTGAACGAGACAACATCTTGCCTTTCCTAAACAGTTCCTGGATCTGGACAGCAAGTTAATTAGACCCCTCCAGAGCTGCCGTTGTGCAACGCAGCATCAAGGACCGACGTGAAGCAACACGGATGCGTGGATGCGTTTTCAGGCAGAGTTCTTGGCGAGGGTTATCGTTTCTCGGCAAAACAGAAGTCGAAAACAACGATCCGGACCGGCTGCATCCAAATGCTACTGCTACTGGGATATCAACGACGATGGTGATGCTGAGTTCTGAATCGATGCTGGTGATGATGATGATGATGGTGGTGGTGATGATGATGATGATGGTGATGCTGAGCCTGACGAAGATGATGGTGATGACAACGAATGATGATGTCGACGACGATGATGGTGATCGTGCAGAGCCATTGGTTAGCACGTTCGACTTGTGTTGGCGGCTTTCAACTAACAACGAGTATAACACTTCTGCGGCCAAAGACGAGGACCCTGCTTGCGTGTGCGAATTTAGCAGTTCAGAACAACCTTTTCCTCGCCGGAAACAAGCATGCAAGATACCTTCGTAAATGCAATCAACGACGCCAGGTTCCATTAAACCCATGCCACGCTCTGAGCCCTAAACCCGAGACAAAGGCAAGTGCGGTGACAGCACCGTGCTCTGTTGAGCCTCCGAGGCAGCGCTTCTGGTAACCCAGCTGGTAGCAGGGCTCACCTTACTCTGTTGTCATGGTCAACGGCCGCCACAACATTCCCAGGAACGACAGTAGCATGGATCCTTTGTCGAGTCCTGCAAGGAGCCGGGGGCTTCGTGTCGCGGTCTGGGCGACTCTTTGCGCGTGCTCTTCTTGTTGTTGCAGGAGCTGGTGGTGGGGGCAGTGGCGGCAGGGCGCCATGGCGGCGGAGGCTCCGGCTGCAGAAGCCGCAGCGCTGGCAGACGCAGTGGTTGTGGCGATTATTGTCGTTGTTGATGTTGCTGCTGCTGCTGTTGTGCTGTCACGGCGGCGCTGTCACGGTGGTGGCGGTGGTGGTGGTGGTGCTTGTGGTGGGTGGCAGTGGCTGTGGTGGTGGTGATGGTGGTGGTTCTGATTGATGGGTTGATGTTGTTGCTGTTGTTGTTGTTGCTGTGGTTGCTAATGGCTCTGGCCTCTGTTTGGTTGCGTGCATGTGTGTGCGTGTGTGTGTGTGTGTGTGTCTGTGTGTCTGTGTCTGTGTCTGTGTGTAACTCAAGTGTGTGTCTGTTAGTTGCTATCGTTAGTGTTTGTGTTTGTGACAGCATTGGTGTTGTACAGTTCGTGGTGTTCTGACTGATATGTCTTTGACTCTATGCTCTATGACTAATGCATTCTTTTGCCAGCTGGCATTTTTGATTGTCCTACAGACGCTGGCTTTGGTTGTCTGGTTGCTGCTGTTCTAGTCATGCCAATGCTGCGGATCTTGTTGTTGCTGGGTCGTGGCTCCTGCTGCGATCGGTCCCCATCCTCTTCCTGGACCCAGTAGGCACCGAATTATTACCTGGCCAACATCCTCGTTCGTGTCACGCGCGCGCACACACACACACACAAACACCTTTACAACAAAACAACAAGCTTCAAACGCGACCGCGCATTGAAGAGCCGAGGCACCACCACAACTTACACGGAATGCATCCGAACAGGAGACGACAGGGGTACTAAGGAGCGAGCATACGTGGAATCCCACAGAACTCCTGATATCAACGTCCTGCCAGCGTTCAGGTAAAGCTGACATCATGACAGCGGCGGCCTTGCCTGGCCTCGTAAGCCGGGCCACGGATGGGCCAGAGCCCGCAGCCGTCGCAGCCTTTTTGTCTTGCTGCTAGCACTGAGTAGCTCTCAGCCACGGGGCGCACCTAGGCCAAAGTGGACCTGCGCGTCGACGGCAAATTCTCGGAAGACCGGCTGCTGAATCATTTCCACACCTGCGCAGGGGGTCAAACCAAGGTGACAAGGTGCTGCTTGCTGCTTTACCACATCTTGGCTGAGCATTGCCGAACATTGCCTAACAACATCGTGCTCGTGCTGTGTACAATACTTTGCAAGGTTCGAAAGAATGCCAGCCAGTGAAACTGCGAGCTCCCTGCCTGAGCTGTTCGCCTTGGTCTCAGCAGCCTGACAATGCGGCCAGGCCGAGAACTTCTGTCCGCCACACTTGGCACCAACAGTGAGCCGTTTTCAGCAGATGCCTTATACTCGCTCGGGAATTTTGTCCTGCACAGCTGAACACGCTCTTGAAGCTCCATCTGTTGCATGACACTGTCCTGATCATCAGTGCCAGAACTTTGCTCGGCTTCGGTGCCTTCTCCGCACGGCCACTGCCGTACAGTTGCTTTCTCGTCAGGTTGGAGCAGACTCCAAGTTCACGACTACCATGATAAGATCAACGAACACATTCTGACCGCTGTGGTCGAATTCTGGAAGCGACAGCAACACAACATGAAGGGCGCCTGGCCGTGCAAAGCGCATGCAATCAGTCGGTTCGGGTCCTGTCTGCGGGGCGCTTCAATCTGCTTTGGGCGAGGTGCACAGTTTTAGGCCGTCAGGCTCGAACGAAACGAAGACTTGCCTTGCTGATCATATCGAGACCTTTGCAATGCTTCATACGAGACTAATGTTATGAGAGACACAGTTTCAACGACACTAAATCGGAGTATGTGGTCGATTGCAACAGCGACGATAGGGACGTGTGTGGGGACCAGGACGGTGATGATGATGATGTTGATGATGACGGTGATGTTGATGCTGAGGTGATGTTGAAATATAATGGTGATGATGGTGACGGCGATCACGATGACTGTCACTGTTATTAACTGGGTTATGACAACCGCAGCCACGCATGTGTGTACACTGCTCAGACTGACTTGTCCTCACATCGCGCTCATGCCGGCTACGTCGGTCTGCTGACGAGTATGTATGTCGGACTAGGTACCATTCCGACCGAATCACTGTAGCTTAATAGCAGGTGCTGCAGTTGAGGTCCTCAGTTTAGGGCAACTCCCATGGCTGTATCCCACTGGAACCCACGCCAACCAGCATGAGCCTTCTTGAAGCCACCTCTCGGGATGTTCCGCGCGCTGACCTGCGGTCTTCTAATGAAGCAAGACAAAAACGGTTAATAATAGTATGCTGTTATGGTTAAATGGGGATCTCTTCAATTGAGGCATAGCACTTGAGGCCTTACGAGCTAACGATATAACCAGCAGCAATCCACAAGGATTCCAGGGCCCAGGCAATTGTTCCGCTGGAGAGGCAGCAGGGCTCGTACGCAAGCTCGCCGCTCACAGCGCACGAGAACTCCTCCGGCAATACTGTGCACGGTGCCCTCTGCCAGCATGCATTCCAGCCAGCTCAGTCCTCCATGAAGCCCTCATCGCCCTCCTGCGTATCAGACTTCCGACAGTATTTGCATGAGAAGCATGATCCCCAACCAGGGCCTCTTCAGGACTCTCAGTGACCATTGGAACCTTAAAGGTTCAGGGACTGCATGTCCGGGACAAAAGATCTCGAACTCAGACTCTGAAAAGGACCCCCGGTTTTCGTTATGACTCCAATTTTTCTTCTTTCTGTAATAATACTGTAATGATCCTGACGCAGATTGAAGCCATATGAGCTCCACCTGAGTACATTGGCAGGAAGGGAGATCCTGCTCAGTGCGCTGTTGCAAACAAGAGTGATGGAAAGATCGTCACATCCTAGTCTCGGGAAATCGGGATCAGGAAAGACTCGACGGGCAGGTAGAAGGTAACGGCAACACACGGCAGAAACGCATGTTCCAGCATGCCTGAACTGCAGCACAGGCTCGTTCATGCCGTAGCGAGCCAGGATCGACTCTTCGATGGACTTCCGACCCTTCAGGTCACTCTTGTAGGTCTCCAACATATAGTGATGCCTCATGCATTCCCCATGCATCATGCGTCAATGCTGGAACACTCTGCTGGCATGCCCACGAAAGCCATGTTAGGCAAAGCTGCAAAGCCACACAAACATAGGGGAAGAAAGCAATGGGCTCACCGGTCACGACCTCAGTCGAGCAGCGGCAAGGTCCTCTCAAAGACGGATCAAAGCTGAAAACCCGCCGGCAAACACGGCCCCAAGCTGTGGCTCAGGAACCAACACACTTTGGACTCCCTTCGGCTTTGAGAAACATCTCGAAAAGGACCTCAGGGAAAGGGTGTCCTGTTCAGTCTTAAGTGAATGCATCTCAGTCTTCTGAGGCATTCTGTGGGGCGCAGGCCGAGTAGCCTTGACTGACACGATTTCGACTCCATGAAAGCACGACAGGGCCGATCCATTCAGAGCCCAGAAGCAGTACGGAATGCCTTCGAGGGTAACCTCGGCAAAATGGGGATGGTCCGGTCCGTTTCGGCTTGCAGAGCAAACGAAACGAGGCTCTGCCGGAGATGGCCCTCAGCGCCGGGCGACTGGATAAAACAGTGGGCGGCCGGATGCTGCGCAGCAGAATTCCTCCCAGTTGGTACTGGCACTGCTTTCCATCACGTAATTGCTCTAATTCACTCGCACTGCTTGACCCTCTACGGGCAGCCCCCAGCGGTCATCAGGAACTGATCCCTGCAACACCTGAGTCAGAGCTGGAGTACGGAGTGCGATGGACCGTGAACACCAGGCCACCAGGCCATGAAACACGAATCATTCAGATCCCAGCTTCAACTTCTTTGCCGGCTTTCGCCATGAATTATTGCCGGCTCATGAAAAATCACTACTGCTGACACCAGCTAGCTCAACGCCTCGGAATATGCGTGCTTGTTAGCAAACTGTAGACCGGATAAGATATGACAAGATGTAAGATGCTGACCTCGGTGCAAAACAAGACATCGCAGAAGATCATGTATTGCCGTCGAATCGAATGTTCGTGTCACAACATTCTTTGACATTTTCCAATCGGCTACCGGGAACAGCCTCAGCGGAAATTCGCACGGCACATGGCACACGCGATCGCATGAACAGAAATGGACGTCACCATTTTTCTCGCGTCGAAACGATTCACGCTCTTTGAAATCGGTGTGGGCGATCTGAGGGCCTTGAACTTGATAAGCGCCTGCCGCAAGCGGAGCGCAGTCAGGTAGCCAGCAGAAGAGGAAGCTCGGATGAGCCTTGCAACGGGACCAAACCAAGCCGTGCTGGGTGCTCGACATCGTCGTCTGCCAAGACGAAGCTTAGAACCGATTCGTGCACCGCTGAGTCTGCTGCCGAGCATTCAGAGCATTCGACATCGCTCCGAAGAATACTGTTGTCGAGGAGCACAGATCCGCAGCAGATCTCAATTTCAATGTCGCAGGCGGCGTCGTCGGCAAGTGGCCCAAGTGCATCAGCCGCCTCACCTGCAAAGTGGCACATGTGGCACATGAAGCCAGGGCTCTGCCCAGCTTTGCTTCCAAAGGCCGGATCCTCGCAGGGCACCCAGCCCATGATTTCTGATAGCGGCTTTCGGGACACAGCAAAGCCAGCAGTGCAAGAGGACGTAGGAAACGAAGAAGACGACCTTAAGCGCGAGCTGGATGTAACCGACGGGCCCTACGAAGCTTCCGCAGTAGAAGGAGGTCCAAAGCCTCACAGATGTCAGAGAGCACGCCGCCCCCACAGAGCTCCAGGGCGCTGCCGCTGCTGGTATTCCTGGAACAGAGTGGCGTCGGCTTTCTGGGTGACGGCCAGATCGATGGCCGCAGCAGGATTCCGCAGATTGATGTCATCCACGGTCCTCGATTGAAGGGAGCGGCGGGAGGCCATGTTGCAGATCACGGCGGCTATGGCCAACAGCCGCTGTCAGCGCACCTCCTCAAGCTCCTCAGGAAGCCAACAGCCTGCTGCTGGCACTGGAAGACGTTCATTCTCCTGAGAGTCGCATTGAATGGTGACTCTGACATGTACACGCGACCGAACTAAACGACAATCCAAGCCCTACCCTAATGCAAACCCTAAACCCTCGACCCTAAACCCTACAACCCCTTGAGGCGAGTTGGTAAGATGACTTTTCGCCTGATGGCCTTGAAGGAAAATTAAGATGTCCACGCCTCAGGGTCCACTTGCCGTAAGGTGGTAACACAAAGGATGGGGCCCCAAAGCCCTGTATGACATAGTCTAAGAAAAAGATTAATGTCACATGTTGCAATATTCTCTACACAAGCACCTTCTAAACATGGATTACTCAACTACATATGAAGCCACAAATAGGGGGTAAGTGGACCCTCTGTAGGAATGCTCAGAACAGAGCTCTGCAGATTGCCTTCGAAGGGCTGAAAGCCTTGTTCGACATTGGGCCGAGAGCTTACACCAGATGCAGACAAGCGGACCGAAATACAAATACTTCGGCCATGTCCCTGGCGATCTCCAAAATTTCCGGAAAAAACGACTCCACGAGTCCAGGAAGATTCTGCGGGATACTTAATTAATTCAAGAGCGTGCGACACCGCAGATTCTACGTGTCACCGTCACGCAACTGGGGCTACTCGGCTGACGTTCAAAGCCCAGCCACGGTAGCTAGGACCATCAGAAGACAGCTGGCTGCGCGGACGCTTTGCGAAATCTCCATTTCCATGGGGGCCGTCATGGTCTGCGTCGCACTCATAGTCATAGTGGCCGTCATGGTCGCACTTTGCGTAGACGTTCCGCTTGTCGTCATGGTTTGCGTCGCAGTTTGCGTAGACGTTCCACTTGTCGTCATGGTCTGCGACGTTCCACTTGTCGTCATGGTCTGTGTCGTCGTAGTAGTGGTCGTTGGGAAATCAGCATAGTCAATTCGACCTCCATGTTGCTCGTCACCCCAAGCAACACATGAATGTACGTCGCATCCTGCCCTGCAAGCAACAAAAGCAAACAAGCCGGCATAGATTTTCACGAACCCATCTAGCCCTTCAAGACTGCTGCCGTCTCCTCCGTGAGAAGGTTTGCCCCAGGCCACCACGCTGCCATCTGCCTGAAGAGGTGGTGGGACAGAGCTGGGACATGCCCACTTCATCAAGCCTGAATCCTGAATTCTACCCGCATGCGCCTATACCCTAGAGACCTTGGAATTTGTCACGGCATCTCGAACCCTAGCCCTGAGAATCTCAGGAACATGGGCAAACGCTGAACACCTAGAGACCCTTGCGTAAAGAAATTGCACCGATCGATGCCTGCACTTCGGGATCACGGGGGTGTTGTTTAATCTCGGCTTGTGAGTGCTCAAAAATGCTGTCAAAAGCCATAAAGTAAACCTTAAAGCAGCAGCTGCTGCTGCTGCTGCTGCTGCTGCTGCTGCTGCTTGCCTCCTCTTCTTCTTCTTCTTCTGCTTCTTGTTATTCTTGTTCTTCTGCTGTTGCTTCTTCTTCTGGTGCTGATGCTGGTGCTGGTGGTTGCGATTGCTTAAGTGCCAATCCTCTCTGACTCTTACTGCTCCCCATGGCCTTGAGAGCGGCAAAGGCGTGGTAGGTTTGTTTGATGGACACGACACCCGACGCCAGCCTGGCACTGAGATTAGTGTCGCTGCTGATGTCTCCGCCACTGTTCGCATCCCCCCAAGTCACCACACTGCCGTCTGATTTGATAGCTGCCATGGCTCTCTCGTTAGGAATGATGGCAGTGACATTGACAAGGCTTGAGCTCATGCCTGTGGCGTTGCCACCCTTGCTGGCTTGTCCCCAAGCAACCACTGTGCCGTCATCCTTGAGGGCCGCAAAAGCCGTCCCGGATCCGACGACGGATACTACGCCGGAAGCTACATCGGCACTGACGCCAGAGAGGTCACCACCATAATTAGCGTTACCCCATGCCACCACCCGGCCATCTCCGCGGAGAGCTGCAAAGCCATGCTCGTTTGCAGTGATCGTCTGGACGTCAACTAGGTCAGCGCTTACACCGCTTGAGTCTGAACCATCACCACTACCCCAACTCACCACGCTCCCATCCGAGAATAAGGCTGCGCATGAAGAAAGTGAGGAGAAGAAAGCAGAAACATTCTTGGAAGCCATCTGGCTGGAGATTGCGTCAAATCCTGTAGTGACGCTTGAAAACCCCCAAACCACAAACGTGCCATCTGTCTTCTCTGCCACGAAACCTCTCCTCATGTAATGGACCACCTTCACACCAGAGCTCAAATTGGCAGCGACTGCGCTTGTGTCCCCACCGTTACTGGATGAGCCCCAGGCTACAACGCTGCCATCAGCCTTGACGGCTGCAAAGGCTCCCCAATTCGCGGTGATGCTCACGACCTCAGACCCTAGGTCTTCCGAAGTTGCCGACCCCATGCCATCATAGTTGGCATACCCATAGGGGGTCTCTGCAGGCCAATTCACAATACTGCCATCATCCTGCTTCGACCACAACAGGTCCGAAGTGTGGGATGGGGGTTGTGTTCAGCTTGCAAATTTCCCCCAATTCCTGCCTTTATGGCCGCAAAGGAATCTTTACTGCCGATCACAGAGACCACATTGGATGAGACGTTGGTCGCAGCCTGGCTGGAATCATTCTTCAAAACAAAGCGACAACAGCCACTAACCTGCACCTTAGATCCGAAACCCGAAATCCCAAACCCATTAAACCTACTCTTAAACCCTCAACTCTCAACCCTAAACCCTAAACCCCGAAACCCTAAACTCTAATATGCAAGCCTCGGTGAAGAAGGAGGGGTGTCCGCCGCCCCAGGTTTGAACGCCGCCGGCACTGGTGAGAAAGGCAAAGCCATCGTCATTGGAAGCGACCCTTGGGCATAGATAAGGGTTTAGGGTTTAGGGTTCAGGGGTTTAGGCTTTAGGGGGGGTTTAGGAAGTTTAGGGGTTAGGGTTTGCTTATCATGGAGTTCAAGTTCATGATCAGTGACTGCCCGCAATCCTGTCTGCCTGGCTTCCACAAGAGGGAAGGCTAAACATCGCATGGGAGCTAGCTAAGTTGCAAAAGAAAATGAATTCTGAAAAAGCTCGAACAGCGATCCCAAACCCTGCGCCCTGAAACGAAGGTGATGGTTGGTTGAATCTGAAAGTGCACAGCAAGCATCTCGCATGGTTGAAGAGCCACGCTTTTCCCACTTGCGTAGTAGATGGGTCTTGCATGTGCCTCCGAGCAGCAAAACCCTAGGCCCGCCAGTTCCCGAGAGCCCCCGGTACACACCCCTTCGCTTGCCTGCCTTGACCAGCCACACTGCTACGATGGCGAAAGCTAGGGCCGCGCGTGCCATGAGCTCCACAGGGGGAGGTGAAGTATAGCTCTGGCAACTGTCAAACACGCTCTCCGAAGCCAAAACATGACAAGTGTGACATGCGCACCATACGAAATGTGCCCAACATCAAGGATCTGCGCCTTGGAGTGTTTAATCTGACCAAGTATGAATCTCAGGAACTAACCGTCAATTGTTCTTCACACTAGCACGCCCAACCGAAAGCCCAGGATTGTGACCGAGGGCCCTGCAACCTCAAGTCTACATGCTAGAAGCCAGACACTTTCCCCAAACTTCAATGTTAAACCCTCAGCCCCACGTACGTCTTCAATCTGAAACCCTCAATCCGCAAGCCTCAGCCCCTAAGTATAATTAGTAAATTTCGCAAGTAGGTATGTTACCCTAGGGCCATGCACATCCCCACGGCTTGGTAGCAGCACGCCGCCTATACCCACCTGCCAAAGTTACATCATGCTCGACACTGCTCCCATATCGATGATGCAATATCTTGGAGGAAGGGGGCTGTGCCTGCTGGCCGCCACGCTGGTAAGTCATCGCCACAGGGCTAGGGACCTGCGCAAAGCCGTGGAGGGCACCCGGCGGAATCCTTCTACCCCGGCAGGACAGGGCTGGAATTGGGATCATGGGTGAACGTTGGCGCCCACTCTGCATACCAAACCCACCTGCAAGGGAACTGCAACCCTAAGCACTGTACCGTAAACCATAAACCCCTAAAGCCCTAACCCAATCAAATCGCAATTAACCCTTCCCCCATGTATTTATTTAAAAATTCCCCTAATACGAAAAATACATTGACCCAGGCCCTGCCCTTTAAACCCCATTTTGAATTAGGGGGGATTCGGGTTACGGGTTCAAAGTTTAATGTGACCCTCCCTTGCTGAGCTTTGTCTCTTTTTTGAGCTGCCTCGGCTCTGTCTGTGTGAGCCTGGCTCTCCGGCCTTCGTCACAGCTCATACATAAAACACAAAAAAAATAAGCTGTCTGCTTGTCTCTGGGTTTACAGTTAAGGGTTTACGGCAGTCTGGCATGGAAAGTTGAAATTTCGTCTAATCAGCGATACTAGAAATCGTCGATTTTTGAAGAGGTTTAGGATTCGTCCCAAAATGCCCAGGAAGGAGTCTGGCATGGGCCCAAAAGTTGAATCTTTCAATAAGCAGCGATACTAGAAATCGTCGATTTCTGAAGAGGTTTAGGGGTCGTCTCAAATGTTGAGGAGTCTGTCATGGGCCCAAAACTTGAATCTTTGTATGAGCAGCGATAC